CAGCAACATACCCATATCAAGTTGTGAGAGCCCGTCTTCAGGATCAACACATGTTTTATAGTGGTGTAACAGATGTAATTGCAAAGACATGGAGGTGAGTGTGCAGAATATCAGAATTGTTGTGATGAAGTGCCTTACTTATTTTATTCTGTACATGTTGTATAACAAAGGCCAAATTGCTGTGGTAAAAAATATGGCTAATGGTTGCTGCTTTCCCATTAACTACTACTGTTGTATAGGCATGGACTTAATTCTCTGAGACTTGATTTCTTCATTTGTAAACTTAGACTAAATAGTCTGACAAGATGGATATAAAAATAAAATGTGATCTGGGGGTGGTGACACAGCTACTTGGGAGACTGAGATAGGAGGATTGTGAATTAAGAGGTTGGCCTGAGCAACACAGCAAGACCCTCATCTCAAGGAAAAAAAAAAAAATGAGATACATGAAAAAATAATAAAATTGAGGTGTTGTAAATATTTGGCATTGAATGTGTAAAACTTAGTTTAATACATTTTAGAAGGCCCCAGTATGGAAGAGATGTTTGCTTTTCATTATGAGAATAAACTGTTATCTACCTTTAATTCTAAAAAGCCAGAGCAGAATATTTATAATGGTAAATTGAGTTCAATTCAAGAAATACTAAATGAGAACCTAAATGATAAGTTCCTGGGCCTTATTCCATATTGGAGGCATCAAGGAAGTAAATTTTTATATGTGTTATATTTACTGTTGTGGGCATTTATATAAGCTATGGGATTTTTAATGCTTACAGTAGATCAGTTAAAACTGTGCATATCCGTACAAGTAAAAGCATTTCAAAGATGGTTAATTTAAAGCACTTTCCAATTCAGTTTTGAGGTGTTCCCAACCCCTTTCTTAGTCAGTTTATGAAAAGAATGTAGGCCCCTACAAATGGCTACAAACTATTTTTACTTAAATCAGAACAAGATTTGACTATTTACTCCCTGTCCTATCTCAGTTAAAATTTGTATTTTATGGCTTGCTGTTTAGGAAATTAAGCATATATCTATTTTTCCCTCTAAAGGAAAGAAGGCATCGGTGGATTTTACAAAGGAATTGCCCCCAATTTGATTAGAGTGACTCCAGCCTGCTGTATTACCTTTGTGGTATATGAAAA